TTTAAGTCGCAGAACAGCAAATATTAACATTTTTCTTCTTGTCTTCTGCTCTCTAGCATTTATTGTTTCTAATTTGTGCATTTTTAACAACCATTTAAAGATGTGAACTTTATCGGAGCTAATTTGCCAGGGTCTGTATGTTTACTGTATGTTTCTAGGAATCCAAGATTGCGTTTAGTCTATATAGAAATGATGCAATGTTGTAATTTTGCCACCTCTAATTACAGCTCTTAAGCAATCATAATAAGCCAGTATTATCTCAGTATAGCAGTGGTCCAAAGCACTTAATGAGTTTCCCACTATTTATTGCCCAGGAAAGATTTCATATGGGGTTGAAAAGGGATTTAATTGAAACTGAAATGAACCTGAATAACTCCATTTACCATCACTTGTGCATGGAGTTTTTTTATTTTATTTTTTTTTTTACAGCCAGGTCTCTATAGGTTACTTAACTTAAAAAAAAAAACATATTCCGATTGGTATGTAGCAGAGTTAGAAATGAAGGTTCTACGAGGGAAAACTTAACCGCACTAAGTTGCATAAAAAAAAATGGCTTCACCCTGCAATCACCCTGCATGAACCAGCATGGAACAACTTTACAGCACCTTATAGAGAGCTCAGTGGCTAAATCATGTATCACTGTCTGACCATGATTGCATGTGGTTGGATTATATAGTGATCCTGATTGTGTCTGAAGCAGGAAGAATGCTGCCAGCCTCTCCTCTGTGTGTTTATGTCTCAGCCCACATCTGCGGCTCAGCTGACAGTACTAACTTGCTTTTTTAAACTCGCCACAGCCGCATGAGGATACTAATGCCTGCGTTTGTGGACACTTCACATAATGATTACAAAAGTATAGAAGCATCTGATTGAACACACCCTGGAAATTGATAATCCCTTTTCAATGTAGTCATGTTTATCTGAAGAGAAGCTTAACTAATTGGTCATCTGCTCCATGCATGATTTAACCAGTGATCGCTGATGGAAGATGACTCACTCATTTTGCTGGTTAGAAGGTTGAGAACCACTGCTTTTATGCAGCAGTCAGGATTATTTTTCTGAAATTTTATTTTTTTCGTTTTAGTTTTGATCTACCATACCACATTCTGCTGGTTTTAATGTCGCATTAGAAATAAATTTAAATTATGTATTTCTTTCGGCTTTTCGATATTTAGTAAAAATATGAAAAAAAAAGATTTTTATAAAGTCCACATCTTAAGTTGTTTTAGAAAGTAGATCTGTATATGTAACCACCCGCGTAAGGATGAAACAAACTCAGTCCTAAAAATATACGTTCTTTATTAAACAAACAAAAAAAAAATCCTTTCCCTCTCTTTCTACGAAACAGATAGCCTAGGGTAGACAATATAATATTTACACTCTGACATTGGTGGATGGCGGACAAACCCGCAGAACCAGAAAGTCGCACACTTATAAGGCTTCAATCAGGTGAAAAAAACACTGCACACGATCACCACTGAACACTGCAGACGATCAGATCCAATATAACATTTAAAATTTACATTCATCATAATAAAAATTTAATATAACCCACACTCTAAAAACACTCACCCACGTTCTTGACGAATCTACAATGTGTGGAACCCAGAAGAATTTTAAGAAATGTTTGCAGCTTCCGCTTTTATACTGCTTGGACCACGCCCACCATACCACCTGTAACATATAGTTACGAGTTGGCAGCATTTCATACACATCGATCTCTGCCTGTATTCTTTAGAAGAAAGAAATCCATATCCTAAATCTAGATTTTCAAATAAAAACGGGTATAGGTTAAATATGGAGTCCTAATCCGGCAAGTTCCAAGACATAAAGAGGCCAAAAGCTCAAAAAGTTAAAGCAGGAGGATTCAAACTTTCTCTTATCAACTCTTACTCTTTCACTCTTTCTTCGTTTTTTTTAGACTGCTGTGCTTTCTATAACTTCATTTTAAGCACCCCAATAATACCAATTTGATAACATGAAATGCTTGCTTCCAGTATCCACATCAAAGATTGCATTTGTTGCTGTTATGCCAATGAATGGTGTGTCCACAAATCAGAAAGGTATTAATTTGTTTTATTACAGATCAGTCATGGCCGTTCAGGCTTTAAATTGGAAAACATCACTGCTCTCCTTGGGAATTGTATTGCTATTGCATGAAAACGTGTTTGTGAGTCTTGTAAGTCTTGCTTCATGGTGACTAATATTATACTTTCAGTTGGAACAACATTTGTACAGTATAATCAGTGAACAACTTATTTGGGTTAGTGATTTAAGATGAAAAGAGAACAAATAGATGTGGATGAATTTATTTGGGCCTAATATATTGATGTAACTCATGTTGAAACACAGCCATTCATTTCAAAATAAATCAGTACAGCCAAGTTGAATGATTGCAGTTTATATTAATCATCTCTTTACATTAATCTAACAAGAAGACATTTTGGGTAAAGTCGAAGTCTTTAGTTTTTCTATTGAAGTCTGTAAAACACTTGTCTTTGCTTACTGTTATTTTCTGAATTTAATGATCATATCACCAGACCATTTCAGATGGCGTAATTGGGATCAGGCCCCTGGGCCAACCACTGTGTACATTTCCACCATCTAGGGTGCTGTGGTCAAAGTACACTTGTCGAGAAGTGTGCCAGATGCTGCTGAGCACAGCTAGGTTAGGTGAGGTGATATTAGGCAGGCAGCTGACAAAACACACTTCATTTCCATAACACTTTTGGAAAAGCCAGGATGATTGGAAAAAGCTTCAAAACAGTCTAGTCTTACTTTTTCCAGCGTTTTATAGTCATTACACTGTCACAAGTACAGAGTAACGAAATGAACTCTCTGCATTTAACCTATCTCCTTGGGCAGCAGTCGGGGAGCAGTGGGCTACCATTGTGCGGCGCCCGGGGAACAGTGTGTGGGTCTTGCTCAGGGACCTGGAGTGTCAGTCTGTGGGAGTGGGGCTTGAACTTAGAACCTCAGGATTCCAAGTGCAATGTCTTAACAACAAGGCAACCACGCCCCAAAGCAGGCATTAGTGTGAAGGGTCTTGCCTAAGGACCCACACTGGCAGCTCATTACCCCCAGCTGGGATATGAACCCAGGCTTCCTATTTGCAGGACGGGTGACTTACCCGTCTTAGTATTAGGTACTTACCACATGTGCTAGCCAGCCGCTTACTGTTACTAAGGAAACAAAAAAAACAAAAAGCAGCAAGTGGAAAGCCTTTTAATGGTGACAAATGAATCTATCACAGCGTTCAACAGTTAACTGTAACATATCTGATGGATGGATGGATGGATGGATGGATGGATGGATGGATGGATGGATGGATGGATGGATGGATGGATGGATGGATGGATGGATGGATGATCTGTTTTTTTATGTGGTTCACAACTTATAAGCAGTTCCTCCCTTGATTTCGATTCTAACTTCTACAAAGGCAGATATGTAGATTTAGGAAAGGATTTAGGAGATTGTTAGACTTTTTGTAACACTTGTATCCCTTTAGTAACAGTAGTAGAAGAAAAGAAAAAGAGATCCAGCTAGAGTCCAGCTGGAAACAGGTTATGCCTGTCTAAACCACAGGATTTCCTGCAGACCAACAGTCCAGGAACCCACTCTGTCTCTTTTTCTGGTCGAAGGTTTCTGATTCTATGACTGAGTTGTTTCCCCTGGAGGAAGGATGCCGTCGCCTCCTGTATGGTTGTGAGGCAGTTCCGTTTTTCTGAGTCACATTGAGGAAGCCAGAGTCTTTTTCAGGAGTTGTATGGTATCAACAGATTCTTCCACCTGAGCTTTGGATATCCGTAGCTCCACCACTTCACTAATAAGTCTTGTTAGATTTACAGTTATGATATAATATTTTAGACCAGTGGAAATATTTTGAACGAAAGGTTGGATACTGAGACTTTTTCAAAGAATTTTGAATATGTGTCATATATATCAAGTGTGCTTTCAACATATGTTGAAACAACCCAAAAACTAAGAACTAAGGTTCTCGAAATGCCGAAATGGGGCTTTAATATAAATGAAAGTTACATTTATCAGACTTTTTTGTAACAATGTCTTAAAAGTCATGTTTTAATTCCTTTCCACTTTGTGACTGTGCTGCATGTTAATCTGCAACATAAATACAGTGTAGTTTGCGGTTGTAAAGCACAAAATTTGACACTGTCATTTAGATACTCCCTAATTTCTAGAGGATACGCTCTGCCTACATACTTGGAAAACATGTCATTCCTGAATTATGTTTGTTTTGCTGTTCTTTTCCCCATTTAGATACCATCAAATGAGCTCCTGGTTGGTGCTGTTCAAGTATACTGAGGAATCATGCTTAAGTTTAGCAATTTATGTACGCAATCCTTCATAAACACACAAAGGGCTGAGCAGGAATGAGTGCATCACGCGCCGTTGTCTGCACTGACGCACATGCTTCTCACATGTGAACATGATAAAGTACTCTTGTCCATTTCTCTTTCTTTTGTACTGTCTGGCTGTCTTTTAGCTGTCAGATCAGAGTAACCTTTTACCTTCACCAATCTATTTATACACTTTTTTTGCACATGGTCACACATAAAAACACACACAGAATGGGATTAAATGAGAGCATGGGTGGGAACCCTGAGGATTATTACTGGAAGATGATTACACAACCAGAAGAGAAGAGGCAAACTGAGCAGAGAACTGATGTTCCTTTTATTTTATACATACAATGCTTTCATACATGGAGAAAAGTGTAACCAGGTCAGTCCTACAAACAGGTTAGAGCTGGTCTCCTGGAGCTCATTCCATAATTAAAGTCCTCAAAGTCACTCATGCGTTGTATTTTTGCTTTGGTTCTGTTATAAGACATCTGTTCAGTCAATCTGAGATGAAGGTCAGAACAGAATTCTTTGAGTGTTTCTGTGAGCAGGTATCCCTCTGTTGCTTCACTCTAGCCAGTATCAGGTGTCTGGGCTCAGTCACTCAGCAATAGTGTGTGTATGTGTGTTTTTAAACAGGTTGGGAAGGGAGAACCCCACATCTTTAAGGAAAAGACATTCAAGAAGAAGCGGCAATGCAGCGTGTGTCGACAGAACATCGACAATGTGGGCTCATTGTGCAGAGGTAGGAGACCTCACTCATGTGAGGCAGTGAATTCAATAAGACCAACAACTTGCACCAATAATGTAGAGGATATTAGAGTTGGTGAATACTGCAACCTTTTTCTTCAGAGAGTTGAAATGCTAAGATGAAGAAAAGATACTGCTGTTTCAACTTGATTACAAATCCTGTTTTCTTCTCTTTCTTGCCTAATTTCACATTTTTCCAGGATGCAAAACAGCCACCCACCGGAAGTGTGAGGGCAAGGTAAGGAGCATCACAACTAGTTTACTGACTACAGACATAAATGTCATGTTGCACACATGAATTTTGGATTTCAAGCTTTCGTTTGCAGTCAGAAATTGATATCCAGTCACATTAGGTATGGATATCACGTTTGGGCTTCCTCTACCAGCGGTTTCAGAAAACCCGGTTTCCTTTTTCCAATCAGCATGGGATGAAAACTACATACACTGGCACATTTTTTGCGAATTGCAAATTTGCAAATTGCAAATAACAACCATTTAGCCTTGATAATACTTTAACTGGATATTTGACCAAAGTTGTCAGGACACCAATATTTTGGTATCAGTACTAGTAGTGACAAAAGGGAACACATACATAACATTACTGACTCTATTTTTATTCAAACATCATAGAACAATAACATATCAATCAGTAAATAAAACAAATAAAACTTTTTCTATTGCATATAGTTTTAAATTAAGTAAAATGTAAGAAAAAAAGTGATACAACAGTATCAGCACTCTCAATATGTAACCCTAAACATTTTTTCTTTACTTTGCATGGCACTCCCAAACCCACACTAAATGCATTTACTTTGGGCGAACCAAAGTTGCATGGATGGAGCTATGCTTAGATATTCTTTATTAGGAGATCAAAGTCATTGATACCAATGCTAAAATAAAGAGGTCATGACAGGTGTGATATTGCCAGAAAAAAAAACCAAAAAAAAACGCTTTAATAATGAGGGAAAAAAAATTTGCTAGTTATCAGGTTCTGACATGACATGATTATCTCAAACTGCAGAAACAGCTTCGCAGGCAAAAAGTTTGATTACAGCTGCAAGTTGCTTGCAGCATATATTTTTTAATGCACAAGATAAATATCTCTAAATATTTTTTCCCTTGACTGTGGCAAAACAAGAGTTTATACTGTATTTCATATTCTGTAACTTACAATGTTCATCCCATGCCTCCAAACTTATATCCACTTTCAGTCGCCCATACAGCAGCGGAAGATCCCCAATGATTGGTCGGCTTGAGAGTGCTATCACTGGGGATTCCCAGTCCTACAGTCTACCAGTATGCAGGAATCTGTTGCCAGGAACAACTACGGAATATTTAAAAATAGGATCATAATTCTTAGAAACTGTCTAAGATTAAGTTTTGAGGTAAACTTTCACACCTAAAAGCATCTTAAAATCACCTTTTCCTGAAATAGAACAGAAAATGAAGCAAATACACTCTCTCCATTGCATCTGCCATTGGACACAAGAGACCAGCAACTCATGTCAGATGCATTCGCACAAAAACACATCAAAAGTAGTAAAACACATTCTTGACACTCATCTGACCTAAATGTCCACAGTCGTCAAAGATGAGGTGTGGACTCCTTATTGATGCTGGAAATTTGTGTAAATGCATCATTAGTCTTCCCTATCTGCACCTGTTTCATTACAAGTAGAACAGACAACAGTCATCATGCTTCCACCACCATGCTTGTAACTTGGTCTGAGTTTTTTAGTTCTGAAGGCTTTCTTAGTCTCATCTAAACATTCTCATTTTTGGGCCAGATAGCCCAATCTTTACCAGCGATAACACTTAGTTTCAGAAGACTTCTGGCTTGTCTCTATGGAGATATGCAACTTTCACAAAAGCATAGGAGGTTTTGTACTTAATATTGCTTGAACTGATATATTGCGATCTGCAGTTGTTTACAAATAACTCAAAAAGACCTTGCCTATAATTACATTTCTCCCTG